GTTCAGCAGTAGTAATTCTTACAATGGGGAAGAATAATGAAAGCTATTCTTCTGAGGGGCTGGGAAACAAGGACGTTTCTGTGTGTATAAATGACTTAAAAGTGAATGAATATCTGTGTTCCTAGTTTTTACTAGACTGCATTACATTATTTTTGTTTTATTGTTTTACAGCTTCCTTATTGTGCTGATATGCCTTATATTCAGTGTGCTTTCTACAATTGAACAGTATGCAGCTCTGGCTACAGGGACGTTATTTTGGATGGTATGTATGTGGACATTAATATGATTGATGTATATTTGTTCTTAATGTGTAAATTCTGATTTTCTGAACTAGTATCATATTAAGCAGCATGTTCCTTACAGTTTAATTCACAAGAGGCTTCTTTCTATTTTTCCCTAATGAGGCTATCAAGCCAAAGAAACCCAGATAGTCAAAGTAGTACAAAAATACAAGAGGGAACACTCTTGCCCTCTGTGGTCTAACTGAGGGTGTCTGCATTTTGTCCAACACACACAACTGTTCTAATTGAATCCCTCCTAAAGCTCAGAGTATTGTTCAGCCATGCTGAAGATCAAATACCTGACCTTAGAAGACAAAGTAGGTGGAAGTCCTTTCCTTAGTGGGAGTCAGATCCAGCCTTCTTTAACAAATGGAAAACTCATATGTGTTCACTGACTTCAGAGTTAAGAAAATGTGCTCTGCCCCTGTCTTATGCATGGAGAAAACGTAGTTATCTTTTGTTCATGATTCATTAGTACTGCTATAGGTACGTATCAAGAAATGTTCAAAGAGTGTTGCTGTCCTGCCAGTTTAAATCTCATATTCAGGAACCTTAGTTTAGGAGTCTGAGAAGCAGCATTTTAAACCTACAGATATGCTGAATTTTTTTGTACCTCATTGGTGAGGTACTCACTGCTAATTGTTGTTTTTTCTGCATAATGACCGTTATTTTACTAAAGAAAGCATTGTCACTGTATAGAGAAAATGCTAATTAAAATGTGTGTTCAAACTAGTTCCTTCAGCAGTGTACTAGTAAATGATGATAATCACATGAACAAGTTCACTTAAAAACCTCATCAATTATTATCAGTTTTATCAAGTTATCTCTCTAATATGCTAAGATTTTGTACCTAACTTGAATACTATAAGAGTATAGTATATTAAATTTAGTGTCAACCACTCTATATTTCTATGGGATGTGTTTGCATGCCTGCTATTTTTTGTTTTTTTGTTAACTTGTAAAACAAAGAACACCGAAGTGCGCTGTTATAGTTAGTAGTCAGCTAAGGGAATGCATACATATATTTTTGCATCCAGTACCTCTTTTGTTTTGTGGTTGTGGGATTTTTTTGGTTTTGATTTTTAAAAGATTTAAGGGGGTTTTTTACTAGTTGTGAATATTTCTGCCAGTTTCTCTGATGAATTTCAGTTGTGATAATATCAATATAACCTCTCATCTTTACTTTGTATTTGACAATGCAGCACAATATTTTACATGGGCACACTGTGTTACAGTGAGAAAAATTCCGGTGACAACATAACCAGTGGTGTTTCAAGATATATATATATATTTTTTTTTAACTCGTGAAATCATGGAACACATTATGTGTGTTCAAAGCAGGTACTGTATTATCTTTTTTCTAAGCAAGGTGAATCGGTGTTCCTGTTATATATGATGAGAAAAGTTATGGTTAATTTTTGACATTTTAATCCTGCTATTATTATTCCTTGGGAATTCAGCAGTTGAACTTGCCAGCATTGCATAAGCATACACAGCTTTCCATTTCTTAAAGGGTTAACTTTGGAAGGTCTTAGGCTGTATAAAATACAGCCAAGCACCCGTTTTATATAAAAACAGACAGTATAAAATCAGCACTATCCATATGTCAAGATGCAACTCGTATATAAAGAGTTGATGTGATGTATGGGTTTTATCCTGGCAAATTAAAGTAAGTACAGTCAAGAAAAGTATTCTGCCTTTGTTCATGTTCTTAATGGAATCGGTTTTGAGGAGGTTTACACGCACTTGGGCCAGGGATACAACCATATTGGTCTGTGTTTATATTTCAGTATATCGGTAGAGCTGGGTCCAAAGAGGGCTGTTAAAATCTGTAAAGTTACTGTGCGAGCATTGATTTGGCCTAGCTCTAGGAAGAGATTTTCTACTGAATTCTGTAGTGTGTAAGCACTATCAACTAGTGAATTTTGTGTTGCTAGCATTGAACTGAATTCTCACAGAAAAAATTTGATAGACGTTAACCCCAGATAAACACTTTACAGTGATCAGTAGGACGGGGTAATAAGTGGTCTACAGTTGTTCTGCAGAGCAATATAGTACAGTGTTTTCACTGAATACTTTTTAAAATTTCATTTATTTACTTATTTATTTGAATGTGGAAAATGTGTGATGGTCTTCAAAAAACTTAAAGGATTTACAGGGGTGCGTTGGTCCAAAACGCTAGACGGGCCACTGTGCTCTCTTTTATCCAGTTTTGGTGGGACTTTCAAAGGAGTTGTAGTACCTTGTAACGCAAATATAAATGTCAGAATGTGGCTCCTACCAGTATCAGCCCAGCCGAAATCTCATATTCTGTTCTTATTTTAAGATTTTAGTTTCACTCTAATATATCATTACAAGCTGTCAAAATTAGATGTAACTGAATTCTTGGGAGGGGTTCATCACAGACAACTAGTTGAAGAGAAACTTTAGAAATGCAAATAGAGTAGTAGAAGAAGGTGTGTAACAGCATACAGGCATTAAGAAAAAGAAGAAAAAGCAGTGCAGTCTTCCGACCCAAAGGGTCATGCAAGGAGACTTGTTAAGACTTAAGAGAGCACACTTTCTACTGCTTTGCAGTAAAATTCATTTCTGTTTTGTATTTGTAGAGGGATTTCTAGTTATACCACAATAATAATTATTATGCCATAATAACAATTATACCATAATAATAATTTTAATTTGGAGGCAGACAATGACAGTAGGTAACTGCCATAGGTGAACAACGAAGGGCAAAAAAGTTAATTTATAAATTAATACTGATGAGAGAGACCGCAAAGGCCAGCAATGTAGAAACAACCTATCAGGATCATAGCAATCTGAAACAAGTCTTTTCTGCTTGGGTTTGACTGAGACAGTGAGTGGGAGGTAACCTTAAGCCTGAGTGAACTGTGAGGAACTTGAGGTTTACGAGGTCTCAAATCATTCCATGAAATTTGAGGTAGACTGCCCGAATGTGCGTTCTGTGAGATTAAATTAATTTAAAAAGTAACGCTTAGACTTAACTTTTGCTTTTGAAGGTTATAAAATTGAGTCTGCCTTTCCCTTTCTGCACGCCAAACGGAAAATTAATGAAGCTTTGATCAAGAGCAGATGACCTTTGATTTAGATGACATTTCCTATGTAGGGTGGAATTCTTTCTAAATGTGTTACGTTTTGTGATGCATCAAAGAAAGGCTGCAATAGCTGGTAGTACCAAATGTGCAATATTGTCCCTGGAAATTTTGCCTACAGAAGTTTTTGTGGACTTCATGTATTTCTTTTTGGTTTTGACCAGGCTGTCATAGGTCTGGAAATGCAAGAAATGACTACAGCACACTGAATGTGCTGAAATGAGTCCTTAGAGTTAACACATGGGTGTGCTGAGCTGTACAGTCTCATGGAGTAGATCTGATTAGAGGCTGCATGGGCACCTTAAATCTGATTTATCATGAAAATGAGGTGGAATAGCTGTAAAAAGCCTATGTATATATTTCTGTTTTCTGTAAACTAGGGTTGTTACAGGGTCCCTTCTATAGCCCGTTTAATGAACCACATGGCATTTGAGGTGCATATTTAGAAAAGTGTAGGATCTGTTCCTCCTGGCTGAATAGCCATTCAAAGGGCCCTTGCAAACACTTGCAATCAGGAGCTAAACTGCTTTGTTTCATCCATGTAGCCAAGATCTTCTGCTCAAACCCTGTAAAAGATATAAACATCTATGCGACCATCTCGACCTCAGGAGATGGTCTTTGAAACCAACATGACTAATCCGCATGTTTAAAATTACGGATATGTGTAAGCTGAGTGTGCCCTTTTTCGTGATCAAAGGCTTCCTGTGTCAATAATATAGTCACACAAGGTATTTTGAAAATAAGATCTATAAAAGTCGCTGAGTTTTTAATGTATATATAATGTGTGTGTGTGCCATCTTACTTTTTGTTCTGGAGTTGGTTATGTTGTTATGGTGTCATGTCTGACTACTAAAGAAAGAAATGGAAGAGGTTATGTTGTTATTAGTAATATATGTATTTTAAAATGCTATTATTCTTCATAACACCAAAAAATACAGGCTCGACATGGGAAAAATAAACGAAGGAAAACTTAAATATTTGTTCCAAGTGGTGTTCCAGTCTTAAACAAAAAACTTACAATTAGGTGTTGAATCTTTCTGTACTTGTCACTACACTTCGCAGGGCAAAGAGCCTTGATGAAAGCTCTACCTAAATGCAGTTGTAATGGGAGATTAGGAGAGAATTGGCCTTTTGTTAAGTTTCAAGAAGGCAGTGAAAGCCGTTTAAATTTGCATGTGTTTATTTTATCTCTTTTCACTAGGTGGTGCTGTTGGAGGGTTTTGACTCCAGTTATTTGTTGGCACTTACCCAGCATTAGCTAGAGAGTTTGAGCCAAGACTGTGAAAGGATCATCATTTTGAAGGGTATATGTACACTTGGCCCATTTAAAATAGTGGTGCGAGAGAGCTTTTGCCATGACTCATAAAGAGAATGTGGTGTATCTGTGTAAAAATTGATTTTGAGACTACAATATTTAAACTATGGAAAAAAGTAATTCAGAGATGTATGTTCCCAGAGAGGCCGTATTTTTCTTTTATTTTCATAAGCAAGGATTTTATGGTGCCAGAACACAGCAGAATGCTGTTATCTCAGCATGATCTAAGAAAATCCAAGTGCCTGGTCCAAGGGGATTAAATATTCTGCTGAA